TCAATAATAAGGCAGCAGTGGCTTGGTGGATAGAGTATAAGGCTTGGAGTTAGGAAGACCTGGGTTCAAATTCTGAGTCTGATAACTGTCAACCCAGCCTCAGTCATCTAACCTCTATGCATCTCAAGCCACTGTTTGGACTGCTCTACTAAGCTACAGACAGGTTATACCAACATCAGAGGTTTCCCACAAAGCTTTATTGTAAGTAAAGAATGAAAATAGCAAAAGTGAGTTAGTCCCAAGGTCTTGATAGTATATATTTGAATGAAGTATCCACATAAATTGATAGCACACTGGTGTAGTGGATGTAATATAGAGCTCATAGAAATAAAGACATGGAGTTTAATTCTACTTTTGACACCCATGAGCTCTGTGACCATGGGCAAGTCACTTACTCTATATGAGCCTCAGTTTTATTATCTCTAAAATGGAAAGAATAATACCTTCAAAACCTGCCAGGTTTCTGAGGGACCCAAGTGAGCTAATGTCTGGAAAGCACTTAGCAAATTTTAAGGTACTCTATGAATGTTCATTATTCTCATTTGTAATTGTAATATTTATTATTTTAAGTAGTTTTATGGTAAATATTTAAATATATGAGGACAGATCAAAACAAAGAGGTAAATGTTAAATTTTTTATTTACTTTCGTCTTAAGTATTCACATAGACATCATTTCATTGCCATAGTTAAGTAATAAATCTTAAATAAATAAATGTACCATTTCTGCATTGCTTTTGCCTCTTGGATCTTATATTTTAAATACTTTTGTCATATGAAAATGAATAGTCACATGAATAGATCATTTTAGTCATTTACATGCTAAAACTCAGACATCAAAGCATCTATTTCTTTAAACTTGTCAGTTATACTCTCAATACATTCTCCAGTTCTGAAGGGCACTCCATCAATTATAAGACAATCTTCTTCATACTGGTTTTCACAAAGGATTTCTTCTGAAATTTCTGTGTTGCACAGAGATACCTGAAGAGAATAACAGCACACACAGTTTACAAGCCCCACACAAAACGTCCCTAGACCTAAACTATGCACTGGCAACTATGTGAAAAAAAAAAATCCAATGCAACATTGTGGACTGTGGGAAAAAACCCTGGGTGTGAACTGGGAAGATACAGCTTTGACTGAGGAAACCATGTAAACTTTCAGAGTCGTAGTGTCAATGTTGGTACATGGGGATAAAAACCCAGCACAGGGGGGTGGTGAGAAATAACAGCAATGATATCTATATAATGAGCTTTATAGTTTATGAAGCAAAATGAAGAGTTATGTCAATATGAACTGTTGCTATTGCTGGTGTTTTGGGGGATGAAGAAGTGTGCAAGCCTCAAAAACCAAGCCCTTGGTCAACAGGGGTCACACTTGAAGTCATATCACAGACTCACCCCAACTCTTCCACACAGCCCCAGAGACACATGCTAAAGCTTCTTAGATGTTAACAGCAAAGGCCAATAATGTGAAAGCTGCCTTTCTCCTAACTCTAATATTTTAATAGGGGATAGTAGAAATGCAAGATTTTTTTATCATGGGAATTTTTCACCTTGGTTTTATCTTTGTAAACCATGTCATGAATGACCTTGAAGATTTCTCTTTTAGATTAGTGTGAATAATTTTAAAGCCATCACTAATATAGACAAAACCTCTTGTCACTATACAGCCTCTTTTAGTGGCTGGGGCTAAAGACTGACAATGATCTTGATGTGGCCTGGAGAAGTATTAAGGGAAAAACATTTGTGAGATGTTAACATCAAATGCCGAGGTATTGTCCTGGGGACTATTTTCCATTTTCTCTGTCCCTCTCTCCTCTCACCGTCCCTCTCTCCTCTCACCTTTCTCTCTTTCTTCTTCTCCCTCCTCTCAGTCTGTCACTGTCTGTTTCTTTGTCTCTATCTCTTCCTCTGCACTCTCACCCTCCCTCTCTCTCTTCATTAGCTTCAATTCTCCCTTCTCTAGTCCTGATTGACACAGCTGCCAAAGCGATTTTCCCAAAGAACATGTCTTATTGTGTGTGTTACTCTTATATTCAATACACCCAAGTGGTTCCCTATTACTCATAACAACAAATGCAAACTCCTCTGTTTGGCATTTAAAGCCCTTCACAAACTGGTCCCTAACTATCTTTCCAAACTTGTTCTATATCACTTCCCTTTACACAGTCTTCAGGCTATCCTTGTTGCTGTTCCCCACATAGAACGCTCCACCTCCCACCCCTGGCCTTTGTACTGGCTGTGCCCCATGCCTAGGATGCACTCCCTCCCCACTCACACCTCTGAAGAGATGCTCAAGGCTTAGCCCGCCATCATTGGGAGTGCTAATGTCTTACCTTCATAGTACCTTGGACTTACTTTGTATATCCTTATACATGTACCGGTTGTTTTCCCCCCAAAGAAGGTAATCTTGTCAAGGGAAAGAATTGTTTCATTTCACAGAGCCTAACACAATGCTAGAACATAGTAAGCACTTAATGTTTGTGATGGGGTATCTTTCAGGATCCTTTAGAGGCTAACTCAGAAAAAGAATAAAAAACTACTTGCAATTTAGATCAGTACTTTTGTGTATCAAAAATTCATGTTTTACTAATATTAAAATCATCTCACGGATCTGTGATCTCATTGTTTTCATAGTTCTTGCCAACAAAAATGATTCAAACCTAGTCACAGATTCCATCCTGTACAATTCTTGTGCACATTTTCTCAAGTTATCACCATCAAAGTCCACCCAGGGCTAGGGGTCTTTCTTGCTTCCTCCTAACCACGTGTGGCTACCAGTGGAGTACACTGCTCATTCATCTGTCACCCCTCATACTTTCTACATGACCAACCTGTCTTTCCTTCTTGTCCTACAATTCCTTGATCAGATGTTTTACTTGTGTTCTTCTGAGTTTCTCATTGGTTATGTGTTACAGCCCACTTGATGCATCATCATTTCCCTATTGACCTCTGCGTAATAAGCATTTATAACTCTCCAGACAGAGTGTTGCTCCATGCCTCATTGCCAAAACATAATATTGGCAGAACGTCATAATTAAAAAGATGGGCCTTTGCTCTCGGGGAAGCTTGGATCAGTGAAGAGCTTTGTCATTTTCCAAAGGCTGTCTAGTCACCCTCTTACTCATCATGTTCAACTCTGCGTCCAACTTGCTGTCTATTTATACAGCTATCCCAGACATCTGCACTGAGGGACTAACTCTATAGCAAATCTATGCAAATGCATATAGAAATTTGAGCAATTAACATTGTTCGTCCACTTGGCCTTCCTCATATAAGTAATTGCAGAGCTCTTCCAGGAAGCTCTGCAAAGTTCTAGGGCTTGATGAAACCCACAAACAGGAACATTTAGAGACTATCACTGTCCATTGTGAATCAATCTTCCAATTGGACTCTGGATATTTACTATCAGAGGGTCATTAACAAGGTTTTTTCTGGTGTTACAATTTCCAAGGAATCTTGAATGGTTTTGATGTATGGCAGTACCTTTTGCAAAAGAGTCTGTAAGACATGGTTTTGTTCTTCCAAAGCAAATACTTTTTTACAATCAACAAACAATAAGCATAATGAGATCCTTTATTCTCCACATCTTTCAGTTAACTATGAAGCAGTAAAGATGCAATCCGTTACTGAAAATTGTTTGTGAAAGCCAACTTGTTTCCTGCAAAAATACTTATTGAGGATATCCTTGATTCATATATACAGGTCTCTCACAGAGATTTTTATATGAATGAGAGAGTAGGCATTACATTCTCACTAACATATCAGCAACAATACATTTCAGATTTTTGATGCATTTGCTCATATAGTATCTCATTTAATCCTTGCAACAACTCTGTAAGGTAAGGCAGATATTGTTATCCCCATGTGTGCAGATGAAGAAATGAAAATTTGGATAAGTTGAGTGACCTAAGATCACACAGCTACTAAATAGTAAAGTTTAATTGGAACCTCTGAGCTCTAGTCTGCTGCTCTTCTCACTTCACCAAACCACCTCTTTTAGTGTAAATAATTACAGGATCCATTTTCAAATACCTATACATGGACTGTCCACTTGGGGTCAGCCAGGTTAGGTCTTTGTTTGTTAATGCTAGATCATTTCACTAGTCCTGTCTTGCTGCTTAAGAAATGCCCAAGAACAACAAAATAAGGAATTCTAATCTGCATTTTAGAGATAAAACAATATATTCCCAGGCCAAAGATAATGGAGCTTTGATTACTTGTTGGGGGTATGTGTGTGTGTGTGTGTGTGTGTGTGTGTGTGTGTGTGTGTGTGTGTGTGTGTGTGTGTGTGTGTGCTTTGTGGGGTGTGCTAAAATCATACATGCTATTGTTTCCCTCCAGTAGGGAAAAATCATTGAGAGTGATCTGTGGTCTTAAACATTCAAACCTCGAACCTCAAAGAAGAAATGAATTAAGGTGTTAGGACCAAATTTATCTACAGGGTTCCCTCCACCTTTTTCTTCCATTCCAACACAGATTAGGCTAGTGTTATTCCTAGAACTTGAGTGGTTCCATATTTCCCTTGATACAGTTTTCTGGTAGTATCCTGCCATGTTGACTTGGCTTCCTGGTCACCTAGGGTTCACCTATGTAAATATGTAGTTTGCGCCCCTCAGACTTGGTGAATACTTCAAGACTGGGTGAATCACCACATCCTGCCCTGTGGACCAGACATGATCCCATATGAAAGACAGGAAAACCCCACTTACTGGAAACAAATAATACTGTATCCTTATGCAACAGCTAAGTAAACTTCCTTTTTTAACTGCTCAATGACCTATTAGTGCTTCATTTCATCCCACATCAAACCTGAACTAACAGGGTGCTTGCCTGAGTCAGGCCTGTTTCAACAATGACTAAACTTTAGAACCCAAAATATCCCAAACACGACATTCTCAAAGGCTAAGCATGCTTAGAACTTGAAAATGATAATTTTGGTCTTTTCTGGATAAAAACCCAATTGTCCCTTTGCCTAACCTAGTTTTTGGTCATGTTAAACTTGCCTTTAAAAGCTGCATTAATTTCTTAAAACCACTAAATATGCTATGCTTTACTTGTAGGCAGCCTTCTCACTCTGAAAAATGCCTCCAGCCTTGCCGCCCTCTCCCCTGAGAGATGAGTCCCTCTGAGATCTTCCATTTTGAGGAAGGGCCCAGGGCAGCCAGGCTCACTCCTCTCTTCTCCCAGTCCCACTTATAACTTCATTTTACAGACAAGGAAATGGAGACCCAAAGAGGTTACCTCACACCAAGATTATGCATCGCAGGATTTGAATCCAGGTCCTCTGACCCCAAATCCAGTGTTCTTTTGACTACCTCACAATTCCTAAACTGATGATCCATTTACAAATGAGTCAGTTTCTATGAACAGACTATTTTTAGAAGAATTCGAAGAATCTCAGAGTTGGAAGAGACCCTATTGGCCATGTAGCCCACTCCTCTCTATAACATACCCAACAAGAAGTCATTTGGCCTTTGCTTGAAAATCTTTACTAAGGAGGAAATCTACAACCTCCCAAGGCAGCCCACTTTATTTTTAGTTAGCTGTTAGGAGATTTTCCTCGTATCAGAGGTTCTTAATCATTTTTGTGTCATGGACCTCTTGGGTAGTCTGGTGAAGCCTATGAACTCCTCAGAATAGTTCTTTATTTCTTCTTAATCCGTAACTGAAAGAAATCCTTAGAGTTAGAGATTAGTGAAAATAAAGATAATTATTTTCCCATCCACAGTCATGACCCCCTTCCTGATAACTATCCATTGACCCCTGAGTGGTCTGGGGAGAGGAGGGAGATCCATGGACTGTAGGTTCAAAGACTCCTCATTTGACCCAGTAGGCCCAAGTAGAACACTTTTCATTCCTCTCCCACATGACAGAATTTCATTCAAATACGTGAAGACAGCCAACATATGCTCCCCTTCTTCAGATGCAACATCATCATTTCTTTCAACCACTCTTCATATGGCATAACCTTCCCCCCACTGAAGCTGCCCTCCTCTGGACACTCTCCATTTGAGTTAATCCTTAAACAGGGTATCCAGAACTAAAGAGAATATTGCTAATATGGCCTGATCTTGACAGAGGATGGGGAGCTATTGCATTCCTAGGCCCAGGCTCTGTGCCTTTCTTAAAGCAGTTGATGATTGCATTATTTTTTTGACTGCCATACTAACTCACTGATAGTGAGCTTGTTGTCTATGAAAATGCCTAGATTCTTTTAAGACAAAATTATCTAGCCATGTATCCTTCATCTTGTATATATGGTGATTTTTTAAACCTGTGTATAACCTTTATATTTCTCCCTATAAAGTTTCCCATTTTAGATTCAGTGTCCTAATCTAGCCATTCAAGATCTTTTTGGTCCTTTGCTTTGTCATTCCATGTGTTAGCTATCCCTTCTACACTGGCATCATCTACAAATGGGATAAGAATGCCATCCATTCCTCTATCCAAATTATCAATTTTTCTTTTTGAGGAGGGAGGAAGGAGTTGATCTGTGATAACATTCCTAGAGGGAACTCTCAATGAAGAAATTTCCTGTATGGCCGCTCACTAAAGATCTCCTTCCTTACAAGTTGACAAAAAATGATCACTCTTTGGGTCCAACAATTTGACCAGTTCTAGTTCCATATCTACCTAAATACATTACAGTACCATCTAGCCCAAATCATTCCATCTTGTCCATAAGAACAGTACAAGAGACTTTGACAAATGCTTCAATAAAGCCCAGGAAAACTGTATCTACAGAATCCCCCTCATCTAGTCACCCAAGTAGCTCTATACACATGCAGTTGATAAAAAAGAGAACAAGGGGAAGAGTAAGAAGAGAGACAAAAATAAAACTTACCAATTTATATCTGTATAAACTTCCCTTACAAATATTCAGATAAGTTCCTAATTGTTCAAAGGAGTAGAAGAACTTCTATGCCATAATTCATTCCTTTTTTTCTGACCAAACATCTTTTAAATCCCTAAGCTACTCTCCACTTGTGCCAGGCTCCATCAACCCTGCTGCTTCTGAGGCACTAGCCCTGTGACCTTGGGCAAGTGCCTTAACCTCTCTGAGGCTGTTTCCTCATCTCTAGAATGGGAGAGTTAAAGCATGGCCCCAGGGTAGAGATAAAAAAATGCAACTCCCACCACTTTATGGAGAGGTGGGTGACTATTCATATGGAACACCCAGTCTCTGTAGATGTTTTAGTCTTTTTTTTCTTTCTGAACTGATTTTTTTTTTCCTTTCTCATTCACTGAAGGGATGCCTTCAGCCTCCATAGGTAGGGGAAGGGAACCCAGATATTAAAAAAGATAAAAGTCCTTTAAAAAGAAAATATGTCAATATAAACTTTTTTTAAAAAAAATAAAACGAAATGGGTGATCTATATGAGCTTCAAGGCCTCTTTTACCTCTGAATCCTATGATCATTTGATTATTCAACTAAAGGTCACAGGAACCTTTGGATCTCCACACTGAAGATAAATTTTTATTATGTATGAAATGATGTTCAACCTAGAAGCTCTCAGCAAGAACAATTCTGCTCTTGTGAAGAATGTTTAAAGTGACTGTTCCGCAAGGAGCAATGATACAAAGGGTCACAAATACCTTTCCTTCTGCGTGCATTTCATCTCCATGTGCATCTGACTCTCCAGAGGTCTTCATGGGCTCTCCTGCTTCCTGTAGCATTTGCTCCAGATCTTTTAATATGTCCTCTGTCTCAGAAACAACTGAGAAAACACCAGTAGTGGAGTTAAAGTGTTACCTCTGAGTTAATTCAATGTATTTCATTTTTCAAATCAACCAAAGTAAAGATAAAAGATAAAAAAGAAACACTTCTTGTTACTTTTACACATATAGTATCTAGAGGGTATAAAATAAATGGTCCTTATGAGTGAGCTATCTATGATTCCTCATCAAAGTACATGATAGTCTCATCCTATGGAGACAAGCACCATAAATGATTATAAAGTGCCTCTGGAATAACTACACAAGGGGGAAAAAACCTATTACAAGAGACACATGGGGAAAAGAAAAGTGGAAAAACTAGGGAACTTAGTGATACCTAGGGGAATTCTGGATGTGTATGGGAGAATCTTGGCTCTTACACTTGTTTTCTATATAATCCTGAACAAATCACCTAATTCCTGGTACCTCAGATTTCTTATCAATAATGTGTGAATAAAAGGATGAAATCTGGATAAAAGCTTCTAAACTGTAAATGAATAGGTAAGCTAAAAAATCTGGGAATTCTTTACCTATTCTAGGATCAAAATCTATAAATTGCTCATAAGGCATTACTAGTACTCCTGAATCCCTGGGATTTAGATGCTCCCAGCAAAAAGTCTTTACTAATAGTTTAATTAGAAGACAACTGTCAGTTGATTTCTCCTTTTTGCCAACTCCTTATATATACTGTAAAAATGTATGCATTTGTATATATACATGCATATATACATACATATATATATATACATAATAGCAATAATAATAACAGATGGCATTTGGATATACTTTAAGGCTTGCAAAGCATCTTATATACAGTACTTTATCTGAGTGTCAGGTATTACTGTGCCCTTTTCACAGATAAGTTAAATGAGGCATGGTAATTTATAAACTTATATACATCTATTAACCAGATAGTAATTGAACCCAAGTCTTTGTGATTAAGTCCAGCACTTGTAGGCAGCTAGGAGGCATCACAGTACACAGGGTGCCAGGTCTGGAGTCAAGAAGAACTGAGTCCAAATCCAGTCTCAGACATTTACTAGCTATATGACCCTGGGCAAGTCACTTAACCTCTATCTGGCTCAATTTCTTCAACTATAAAATGAGGATAAAACTAGCACCTTTATCACAGGTCTGTTGTAAGGAATAAATAAGATAATAATTGTAAAGTGCTTAGCACAGTATCTGTCATGTAGCAAGCATTATAGAAATGTCAGTTATCATCATCATCATTATTTCTACAACACCATACTGCCTCTTATTGATGTAGAGACAATATCCCAAAAGTATTAGTTCAGTTTTAAGCTATGATAGCTTATTCAGGTACAGATGTATATTATATAGCAATAGATACAGCAATAAGCTTAACAGATATAGGTAGATAGATAGTCTCTGATCTCACATTAACAGATTCTGCTTTGGAAAACAGGATATGCACATAGATAAATATAATGAAAAGTAGACCATGGGAACAAAGGAGATCCATAGACCAAGGAGAGAGGGAAAAAAAACCTTTACATGGGGAATAAGGGAATGCTTAACAAAGAAGATAGTGCTTGACGTATGACTTAAAGGAAGAGTCTTGGAGGAGACAGTCAAAGATGGTGAAATAGGCAGGACTACAACCAAGCTCTACAATTATTCCATCAAAGATGGAGAGACAGCACCAAGAAGTAGTGATTGGGAAATTCAAGAAGAAACAACAGTGAGTCATTTTTTCAGGGAAGCTCAGCATAAGAAGACATCTCCAGTGGAGTGGGCCTTCCAAGAAGGTCTTCCCACAGAGCCTTCCAACATTGGGATTGACCTGAGGCCTGTAACTCTGTATCGGGACAAAGTGTGGGCTCAGGGATCTAGCTCAGACTGAGCCTGTGTAGGAAAGAGAAACAGTAATGGGTTAGCAGCTGTGTCACTCTGACCCAAAAGCTAGGTCATGGATCTAGCACTAACTGAGACTGAGGCCTGAGACTGTGTATTATGAATAGGAGTACCTGTAAGGACCAAGCTTGAGTCTGTGTATGGGTAAAGGGAAAGAAGAGAAGCAAGCAGCAGCTATGTGGCTCTGACTCTGGAGTCAGTCAACTGGATTGTTTGAGTGCCATCATAGGTCAGGCCCTTTTCAAAAAAGTACCGTGGAGTCAACAATTCTTCCCACAGGCCCAGGAAGGGCCAGGAGCTAAGTAAACCCAGACAAACACTCACAACAGGTTGAACCTGCAGTTCTCTTCCTCTGAATGTGCAGAGCCTTCTAGCTAGCAGACAGGGCATGGGGCAAGCATCAATCTACTGGAACTCCAACTAGAGCAAGTCTGTAATTATTTAACCTAGGCTCAAACTAGGGTTAGGAGCTTGTAAAGTTCAGACCAGGGGGAAAGCAATCTGATTTCACCTGAGATCAGACCAGTGGTCACTGAAAGTGTAAAGGTCCCTGACCCAAGCTACCTTAAGATCCTTTTCTTACCTAACTATGTATATTTTTTACAAGTTTTTGTTTTCTTAAAATTTTTTGGAGCCAAGGTGGGCAGAGTTCTGCCCCTGCCTCAGAGTTAGTGATAGTCTCATTCCCTTCCAGGGTGAGAAGAAAATAATGTCTGACTAAGGCTACAATTTCTGTAATTCACAGTAAGGCATCAGACCTTTTCTTTGGCCTTCAAGGGAAAGTCTGAACACTCATTTACACATAAAATCGACTTGTCTTCAAACTTTGTGTTCTTAGTTTGTAGGACTTGATGCTAAGATCTCCTAATGCAGTGTCCATAAGGTAGACTGGGGGCTACTGCAGACAAGACCTTCACTGCAGACAAGACTATTCAGCTGATGACACTTCACTGCGATATGGAAGGGACCATTGGCTCCAATCCATCCTCCATTCAGCCATTAAAGTGATTTTCCTAAAACACAGGTCCAATCATGTCACTCCCTACTCAATAAATTCCAGCAGCTCCCTATTGCTTCCACAATCAAATACAAAATGCTGTTTGGAATTCAAAGCCCCTCATAAGCTGCCCTCCCCGCCCCACACACATACCTTTCCAGTGTTCTTATACCTTACTCCCCGTAAGAATATACTCTTCTGGTCAGTGACACTGGCCTCCTGGCTGTTCCATAAACAAGATACTCCATCTCTTAGCTCCAGGCATTTTCTCTGGCTAGCTCCCCCCACCTGGAACAGTCTCCCTCTTCAATTCCACCTACTGATTTCCTAGGCTTTCTATAAATCTCAACAAAAATACCACATTTTACTAGAAACCTTTCCCAACTCCTCTAAATTCTGGTGCCTTCCTTCTGTTATTATTTTCTATTTATGTTATATATAGCTTGCTTCGTATATATTAGTTTGCATGTTATCTCCCTCATTAGACTATAGACTCCTTGAGGGCAGGGGACTATCTTTTGCCTCTTTCTTATATCCCAGTGCTTAGCACAGTGCCTAGCACAGAGTAGGCCCTTAATGAATGTTTATTGATTGGTTTGTTCTCAAAGGCTATAGTAGTAGATCACAAACTGTGGAAGATCCTACAAAGCTTCAAGTATGAGTACTACAGCTGAAAAAACTGTGTTCTGATAATATGTAAACTGTATGTCTACTATTGGAAGACCAGCCCAGTTAAATTGGGAGAAGTTCATCACTAGGTTGGCTGCAAGGTGTGTCCAAAGTAACAATTCTTTTTTTTTGTTTTGTTTTGTTTTTTAGGCAATTGGGGTTAAGTGACTTGCCCAGGGTCACACAGCTAGTAAGTGAGAGGCGTGTGTTCTGAGGCTGGGTTTGAACTCAGGTCTTCCTGACTTCAGGGCCGGTGCTCTATCCACTGCACCACCTAGCTGCCCCCAAAGTAATAATTCTTGGGATCACAGATTAATCATAGAGTTTTCAAGCTGTGTGGGAGGAGTTCCCACACGAATGAAACTGTAAGTCCTTGAAATGTTGAAGAAAGAAAAAAAAGATGCTGATATGTGCATTTTTACATTTCCAAGATTAGAAAAGCAACAGTCAAATTAGTAATGATAGTGAATTCAACTGCACTGAAAAATGGCATTTTGGATTATTTATTTTAGATATAAACAGTGAAAACACCTTTATTTCTTTTGGTCATAAAAAAAAAATCAGATCATGAATTAAATGATGAACCAATACTGGTAACACCAAATCAACAGAGACAAGATACTGCTTCCATTGCAATGGGACCATTTCTTCTCTGACTTCCAGCAATACTCCCTCAGTTGACAGAGCTCAAAATAATCCCCAAAGAATATATGTTATTATTGCCAATGATCCACAGATTGGGCTGGTAAAATTGGTCAATGATAGCCTCTGGGCATAGAAAAAGAATGAATGCCTTTGTTGATTGTGTGCCCAATCATCTTCCATCAATACTGATTATCCTGTAGTTTCACTGACTTGTTTCAATTTATTGTGAAGTGTAGAATGGTAGTATTATAGTAGCTCTATTACTCTGTGAAGGTAAAAAGGATCTCATAGTGAAAAATCCATATCTGGCCTTTTGAAATCAACCTAAGTAAAATAAATCAGGATACTTTGTTGGTGGTAGCAGTATTTTTTCTTCATTTTTGAGAAGAAATAACTCACTATTTCTCTCATAAATCAGTCTTCTGAACTTTTTCAATGCATAGCTATAGAATTTTTTTTAATTCAATTTTCTTTAAATGATTAAAGACACTATCTTCTCCCAATGCAAAGAGGCTATAGGTTGTGTTAATATAAAGATGACATAAAGAACTTTCTTAAAAAGAGGTCACCAACTAGTCGACAGACATTTATTTATCAATAAACTTATTATGTGCCAGGCACTATGCTACTTACTGAGAATACAAATACAAACAGAAAGTAAAATAGTTCCTGCCCTTAAGGAACTTACATTCTAATGGCAAGTAGTAAATGCTTAATAAATGCTTGTTGACTGGCACGCTGACTTCCATGGCTTCAATTATCATCTCTACACAGATGGCTCCTATCATCTACATACCAGACTTATCTGTAGCTCCTGCATCACCAACTTCCTCCTGGATATCTTTACCTGGGTGTCCCATGCATATCTCAAACTCAGCCTGTCCAAAATGAAACTCCTTATTTTCCCTCTATACCTGTCCCTCCTATCTCCTAGATTTCTTTTAAGAGCTCTCCCATTCTTCCATTTACTCAGGTTCACAACTTTGCAGTAACCATCAATCCTTCACTTTCATCACATAGATCCCATCAAGCATCTCTCCTCTTCTCTATACTCCCATGACTGCCTCCCTGAGTCAAGCTTCCCTAGCATAGTACAGTAGCCATGAAAGTAAAGGGGTGCTTGTGCTGGGACCCCAGCCCTAAGATCATGTCTCTGGAAGACTCCTAATCTCTCAGTAGGTCCCTGCCCTGTGAAAAAAAATTTCCCTTGTTGCAAAACCTACGCAGGCCTGACTCTATAATTCCTTTATCTGAATAAGACACAGGGATACTGACCCAAGGACTCTCTTTCTGGTGCCAGATTCCCCAAGGTCCATGCCTCTGGCAACAAAACTAAAACTGTTCTTTTCTCCCTCAATGTCTGGTATCAACAAAGTTATCTCTGCTGACTCCCTGAATTTTCCCATCCATAGATCACTGACACCTGCTCCCAAAGACACCCAGACCCCTTGCGTTACCTAATTAGCATCTTTAAATAGATCCTGCCCCTTTTACTCTATAAGCTTTAGATTCACCCCCATTAAGTTGCACGTTCCCCAAAGGAACTTTGCCTGCTACTATTGGTATTACAATAAACCTTGCTACTTGAATGAAAGCAGACTTGAGTGTGTGAATTCATTTCAGGCAACTCCACCTTGTACCCTGTCATTTTGGGGGTTCCTAGCATCCCAAACCATGTCAGAAGTGCCAAAATAATCTTTCTAAAGCAAAAGTCTAAAGATGGCATTCTCCAGATTGAGTTCAGTAGCTCCCTACTGTCTCCAAAATAAAATGTGAACCTTTTTGTTTGATATTTAAAGTCCCTCCATATCTGTACCCAGCCTACCTCAGCAGACTTATTTCATAACACTTCCCTTCATTCCTTCTGCCTTCCATCCAAGCTGGTCTCCTGGATGCTCCCCAGGCCTGAGCTGATGTCTCCTCTGTTTTTTGTTTTGCACTGACCCAAAAAGTTCTCCTCCTCACTCTCTTCCTCCTCTTCCCCCTTCCCCTATCCACCTCCCCATCTCTGTCTCTTGGAATTCTCACTTTTTTCAGGGCCACTTTCTTCAGGCCTTTCCTGATTTTCCCCATATGTTAATGTTTCCCTCTCCCTCAAATTATATTTCCTTTATTTATACTTAGATTTCCTTCTCTGAGTACACACATGCTGGCATTTTACTCCTTAGCTCTAAATATAATAGAAGCTCCTTGAGAGCAAGGGCCATTTCAGTTTTGTCTTTGTGTCCCATCACTTCACAATGTTCCTTGCAGATACTAAGCACTTAATAGATGACAGCTGAATTGAAAATTGAGGACAGGTACATAAATTAACTGTTCCAAAAAACTTACAACTTTTAACTCTTCCATAGCTCTGAAAGGCACACCACAAAAGCCCTAAGTCCCACTTGTTTGCCTACTCAGACTGCCCAAGTGTGGGGGAGAGGAATGGCTTCTGAAGGGTTCCAATGCTACATTTTGCTCTTAACCAGCAGCACTGATGTCATAGCACTCCAGCTTTTACCAATTAATCCAGCCAACTGTGTTATGTTCTTCTTTGCTTTCATGCTTTCTGGCTGTGTGGCCAGTCTCTTCTCTTTGTTTATCCAATGGGAAATAAGACTTGTGCTTCCTCACAGACTTAAGAGGATGACAAAATGAGACAACGGGTGGAGAGCACTTCAAATAAACTTCAACTGGTCCAAGGTCAGCTGTTGTTCCCGGTGCCTTTTCCTTTTAGCCCAATTTTGTCCCTTTTGGTTTAGCACAAATGGCTGTGTTAACACAAGGTTAGTTATTCTGAAGGTCCTGGGTTAGAGTCCCCAGTCTGGGTCTGTGCCCTGTCTAACCTCCACCTCTCTGGGCCTCAGCTTCCTCATCTCTGAATCAAGGGTTTAGACTTGATGACTTCTAAAACCACTTGCAGTTCTAAATCCTACAATCTCACAACACTTAACTCTGGCTGGCATTCCCTTCCTGGGATGCTATTGTCAAGTTCTTACAAACTGGTTCTTTATTCTAAGACAAAACAAACAAACCCAAACCAACCATTCCTATACATGTCAATATAAGAAAAATACAATTCACTAGATAACAAACCTAAAAACAAAAGAAAAGCACCAATACATAATTCCAAGATCAAAAAGAGAGTGAAGGCAAAAATATGATTATAACCCAGGATCTTTTCCAGAGCCAATGATCAAAATAACAATCTTCTCTCAATGACTGGACCTAAAAGACCTAGTAATCTTTGTCATTGTGCCTAGGCAGTCAGGGGTGGAGTGAATGGGTGTGTAAAATCTGTTTGTGGAAAGTTTTTTTTTTTCCTCCAAAGATATGGATACTGATTTTGTGAAATGAAATTTAAGTAACAGAACTAAGGCCATTACGAATTTTTACATACCTGTGTTTTCCTTTAATAAGGCATCATCTGAGCAGGCTATTTCAAAAGAATATTTGAAGAATCCTTTCCTGTAAAAAGAATTTGACATATTTCTTTCAAATAATCAAGCACATTAAGCAATAATCAAGCAATTAAGATTCATGTATATTTAATTAAAATTGTGAATTATGAAAACTTCCTATTTTCCCCTGAAGGTACCTTTTCTGAATTGTTTTATTAGGAATATTTTGAAATACAACTTGTTTATGAAAAGGTCCTGTTCTTATTTGTTTGTACTTATCTGGGCAAAACTCTCTGTGTCTTGGTAGAGTAGATAATGACAATGTTTTCCCTTTTGGACCAGCACAAACAAGAAATGGCTTATGACTAAGGGTTTCAGTTCTAACCCTACTGCTCTCCTTCAGGCCAGTCTGTAGCTTGCAAAGATTTCTGGAAGCTTCCTCAACAAGCTTTGAGTGGCTCTGCTCTACCTACATACTAGAAGTTTCCCTAAAACTTTCTTATGGCTCCTGTGAGCCTGAGGCACAATCTATAAGAGAATTTGCTGCTGCTGCTGCTGCTGCTGCTGCTGCTGCTGCTGCTGCTGCTGCTCCTGAAAAACCAGGATCTGGCAGATAAGCCCCAGCTAGGACTGCTACTACAAGTAGAATGTGACCAGCACCTGAACACACAGACACAACCCAAGCCCTCAGCCCTCTCTTCTAAGTTTGGTACCTATAGAGCTGCCTTGGCAGAAGCAGGGGAGCTCATTAATTCTCCAAGGTCTGTCTCAAGGTTGCATTCCCAGTTTGTAAAATGCAACCTGCTCTGAGCCATCTAATTTGCATTTTCCCACACTTGACATTTATATTTTAAAGTCCTGCTGTAATATATGTATATAAACAGAGAGTTGCACACACTTCCTCTACATTTCTAAGACTGTTATTAATCTGTTTGTCATTATTTCATTTATTTGCTCTTCAGAAAATATTATAAACAAGTTTCACTACAACAGCAAACAATGAAAAAATATAATAGAGGTAGTTTCTGTGCATGTATTTTTCAAATTCATTATAATATCTTTATATTTTTAATACATACCTTTTATTTTTTCTAAAACTGCACTTTTTATTTTTATTATCATTTTGGGAGCTTTTCATCTGTGAGACAAAATCAACAAATTTTAGGTTAATTTCTTTAAAACGGTTAATGATTCTAATTTATTTAAAAGACTAAAACTAGGCCTTGTCCTCTGATTAGACCAATAGAGTATCTTAGTACAGGAAAAAAAATTAGATTCATTTGGATAATTTTTTAGATTCATAAAATATCAGATTTTGAAAGACCACATGGGTCATCCTGACTCAAGTTCTGTCCAAACAAGAATCCCTTCTACGTCACACCCTTCAAGGAAATTTTCTAGCTTTTGCTTGAAGAGCCACAATAAGAGGAAACTCACTACCTACCAAGACAGCCCATTCTACCATTAGCTAGCTCTGTGAGGAAATTTTTATTTAGAAAATCCTAGACCATTTGCAACTTCTACCCATTGCTTCTGGTTCAGCTTCGTGGGGAAAAGTGGAACAAATTGAACTCCTCTTTAGCTGACAGTGCTTCAAATACTGCAATTCTGCTTCATTCATGCAGCACACCATGATGGGCAGTCCTTTGTCAGTATCTCCCAAGTCACATAACTGATTCCAAAGTTCTTCAGAGAGGCATTGAGAGTGTCCTTGCTCCTTTTTTGTTTGTTTGTTTGTTTTTGTTTTGTTTTGTTTTTTGGTGAGGCTATTGGGGTTAAGTGACTTGCCCAGGGTCACACAGCTAGTGAGTATCATGTGTCTGAGGCCAGATTTGAACTCAGGTCCTCCTGACTCCAAAGCTGGAGCTCTATCCACTTCGCCACCTAGCTGGCCCCCCTAGAGTGTCCTTGTATCACTTCTTCTGACCACCACCTGAGTGCCTACTTTGTGTGATTCTCCATAAAATAGTCTTTTAGGCAAGTCTATGTTTGGTATGCAAACAACACGGCCAGCCCATTGGAGATGTGCTCTCTGCAGTAGAGTTCGAATGAGTGACAGTTTAGCTCAAGAAAGGACCTCAGTGTCCAGTGCCTTATCTTGCCAGGTGATCTTCAGAATCTTCCTAAGACAATTCAAAAGGAAGCAATTCAGTTTCCTGGCATGGCACTCCTCGACTGTCTAGGTTTCACAGGCATACAGCACAATGGCTCTGTAGACCTTCAGTCTGGTAGTCAGTCTAATACCTCTTCTGTCCCACACTTTCCTTTGGAGCCTCCCAAACACTGACCTACCTCTGGTAAGGCCTGTGTCAACCCCATTACCTATGTAGACATCCCTGGAAAGTATAGGTAGGCCCAGATAGGTAAACTTATCCACAGCATTCAAAATTTCTCCATTTGCTGTAACCAAGGGTTCCACGTATTAATAGTGCAGTACTGCTGGTGGAGAACTTGTGTTCTCTCGGTATTAATTGTTAGGCCAAAACTAGTACAAGCAGCAGAGAATCAATCCACACTCCGTTACATCTCAGCTTGACAGGCTGCATCGAGTGCACGATCATCTGCACACAAAAAAATCACGCACCAACTCTCTCTCCACTTTAGTCTCGGCTTGTAGCCTTTTCAAGTTAAATAGTTTACCATCAGTGCAGTAGCTGACCTCGATGACGTTTTCATCCTTGTTGAAGGCATCTGACAACATTGCTGAAAACATCACGCTAAAAAGTCTGGGAACAAGCGCACAGTCTTGCTTTACCCCATTGGGGAGTAGGAAAGTGCAAAACTCGAGCATCATCCATTATCCAGAACCCAGAGAAGCGTGCTATCATCAAATTTATGTACAATACTAATAAACCTCTCTGGGCAACCAAATTTTGACAATTTTTCACAAGCCCTCACAACTGAAAGTATCAAAGGCTGATCAATGAATGTTGTGTAGAGACCTCTGTTCTGCTCCTGGCATTTCTCCTGCAGTTGTGAGGCAGGAAACACCATATTACCACTCCTCAGCCCTTTCTGAAGCCACACCGGCTCTAAGATAGATAAACATCTTCCAGGTGAAGGATCACTCTATTAAGGAAAACTCAGGCAAGAATCTTGCAAGTAATGACAGACAGACATTCTATTGTGATTGTCTCCTCTTGCTATATAACCCAGAAAATTTCAATCAGTTTTTGTATGAGCAGTGGACCCCCTGCCTTGTAAATCTCAGCTGGAATAGAATCAGTACCAGGTGCTTTGCCACATGAGAGGAGCCTAATGGCATTTAAAACCTTTTCTTCAGTTGGAAATTTGGCTAAAGAAGGGTTGACTTCTACCTGAGGTATACAGTCAATGGCTTCAACATTGATTGATGATGGTCTGCTAAGAACACTATGGAAATATTCAGCCCACCTTTCCAGGATCATGTCCTTATCACTAATTAATGTGGCTCCATCAGCACGGAGTAACTGAGAGGCACCATAGGTCTTTGGCCCATAAATAGCCTTTAGAGTGCCCTAAAAGTGCTTTGGATTATTACTATTAGAATAAAACTGAATTTTATCTGCCTTCTGACTTAGCCAAAAATCCTGCATCTCTCCAATCTTCACTTGCACTTTATTTTTGATGGAGTTAAATGCTACCTTCTTAGAAACTGATGAACTATCTTACTGGAGTTCTCATTTTTCATTTAGCAGCTTCTGAATTTCCCCATCACTTTTGTCAAACCAATCTTGATATTTTTGAGTGTTCTGTCCCAGATGAGTAAATGCAGTACTACGCACCAAACCTCTGAAAGCTGTCTACTCCTTTTATGCTCCACTGCTGCCAACTGTGGGCTCTGTTTTCCCTCCAAGTTAGCAAGGATTGTTCCCATTCAGAGAAGCACTCTAATCTGTTGAAATTTTCTTTTGATACTTGTCTTTCTTTGAAGATGCCATTGTTGAATGTGAATATTTAACTTGCAGAGGATAAGTCCATGGTCAGTCCAGCACTCTATACCACATATTGCCTTTGTCATTCTCACATCCTGTCTATCTCTTCTCTTTACAATGATATAGTCTGTCTGCATCTGTGAAGTTTTACTGTTTAAGTAAACTGAAGATTGTGATAGTAATGAGGTCATGAGATGCACAAGTCTTCAATAGTAAGTGATCACTGCTGTTGCTATCTCCAACTCCATTCCTCCCAATGACTTTCTCCCATGTCTGGTAGTCTATGCCTACTCTTGCATTTAAGTCACCCAGAATCATAAGCTTGTCTTCTTTTGGCAGACTGATGATGAGAATTTCCAGGTCTTCATAAAAATTTTTGTTTGACCTCATCAGGGTTCATCATAATGGGAGCACATGCACTGATGATGTTGGCATGGCACTTTCCTGCAACTGGCAATCACACTGTCATGAGTTCGTCATTTACTCCTTTTGGTAGGCATACAAGCCTATTGTCTAGATTAGTTTTGATTATAAAACCACAGTGCTCCCTTTCACTGTGGCCACTCTAAAAAAACGTGAATCCAGCTCCAATATCAGTAAGCTGGCCTTTATTTGCCAGCTTTGTTTCACTCAGGGCTGCTATTTTAATGTAATACCTGCTGAGTTCTCTCACAACAAGACCTATTTGTCTTTCAGTTCTACTGGATTTTGTGCTGTCTATAAGTGTGCACATTCCATGTACTGATGGTAAATGGAATCATCTTTGCAAAAGTTTCTGTGCATTTTCTTTTTTGTTTTGACCACAGGGTGGGATCCCCACCTGCTGCAATAAGCAGACCAGGGTTAGGTGAAGCAGACAATTTTCAAGTGTTTTCTAGCCCCTTTCTCACACAAGGAGGTGAGCAGTACAGTCCTTAAAAGACCACTCAGACACCCAGGGGGCTGCAGGATCCCACATGATTTATCTGGTCAGATGACTTGAGTTCCTCAAGAGCACATAAAGACTCTCTTGTTATCTCCTTGGGCATCAGATCCCAAGGAGCCATTTCTTTTCTGTTCTTTCTCACCCAAAGATCCCTCTCCTCTGCAGAAAAAAGAAACACAATCATTGTGAAGCAGTGATACTTTTCTCTCCACAGTCAGTCATCATCAAACCATCCACTTGAAGAAGCAGTCCTCTCTCAGCTCTGCTGGGTCCTCCCTCTTCCTCTACTACAAACAACTCTTTGTGTTAATCTGAATGTTCATCACCAACCTTCAGCTTGTTTGGAGCTTTAACACTCCTAGAAGTTCTTTTAGAGTCATGTTAGAATTTTTTAATCATTCTGTTTTTGTCCTTGTTTCCATCTTCTGTACATAGCTTTAAAAAAAAAATCTTACTTGTTTAGTGAGTTCCTTGGCATATGTATTAGTCTCTTTAGACAACCTCCCCCCTCCCCCCTTCCCCCCCCATTTCTCTTTCATTATTGATCACAACCTTGGACTGAACTTTTAACCCTGGAAAGCTCTCTTACAGGTACACTTAATCAGTCAAATGGGTCATATTGCCTTCCTCCGAATATAAACCTTCTACTTTCCTGCCTCAAAGCTTATGTTTGATACTTTTTGCTCCTAGAATGTCTTTCCTACTCCCCAGATCTCACCCTATAAAAATACCACTCACATAGGAAGACACCTAAAAATCTTGCCTCCTGGGGCAGCTAGGTGGCACAGTGGATAGAGCACCAGCCCTGGAGTCAGGAGGACCTGAGTTCAAATCCAGCCTCAGATACATAACACTCACTAGCTGTGTGACTCTGGACAAGTCACTTAACCCCAATTGCCTCACCAAAAAAAATAATCTTGCCTCCATAAAGTCTTTCCTGATTACTCCAATAATAACTTAGTTCAACATATTAAGTACATACTATGTGCAAAGTATTTATTGTTTGTACCATTCACATAGCATTGTCATATGCATATTCTACATTGTCATATTACAGCTCATTTACCTCTAGGAGTTCTACTTGGTTTCTACTACATCATCATCATACCTCCTCCCTATTTCTGCACCTCTCCTGCCTCCTAACCCATGAACCAGGATAAGCTTATCGCCAAGAAACTCATCATCACAGAGACTGCTTCAGGTTTAGCACTAACACCTTGTCGGAGCCCTCAGTTACCTCTGTCTCTCTGACTGAAGGACTGGAGAATGAAGCAAAAAAGTTCATCCCAAAGCTTCTCTTTAAAGAGGGCCCAGAAGCTCAGTTCAGTCAACTCTTCATTTCTCTCCAGCTACTCTGCTGGGTTTTGAATCTACCATCATCATGCCCCCCCCTCCCCGCCCCCGCCCCATGCTGGGTACTCTCTGCCCTCTCATCCCTCTTCCCACCTCCCACATCTTATTTGAGCTTCTTTTTTGTTCTATCTTTCCCTATTAGATAGTAAGCTCTTTAAGGACTATCTTCCTTTTTCTAATTTGTATCCCCCAACATTTAGCACAGCTCCTGGCACATATAGGCACTTAATAAATGTTTATTACATTATATTGTATTGTAGCTATTGTGTATATTTTCTCATCTCCCTAACAATACAGTAAGCTCCTAGAGGTCAGTGAACTATACTTTGAGCATAAAAATTACTCAACTATTTGCTGTATGGACGAAGAATGAGTCACTGCCCCTGCACAGATTTACAGAAAAGTAGTTCAGCATTCATGTTCAACAGCCAATAAGCTGTCATATTCCTATATGAAGGTCAGATGACTTGAACAGTTAACATCAACTGGAAGTTTTTCAGTCTTCATCCTTAGCTTCTAGACAGTACATCAATCCCTTCCAGACAATGAATTTCAGCTTCCCTTCCCTTTCTGTTCTCTCCAACCTGACTTGACTAGCTATTCTTTACCCTTCTTTACTCAGTTCAAAGAGTGTTTCCATAAACACAGTACAACACAAAAAGAAGATTATGTATGAAGCAACAAACCACCATTTTATACCATGTATTTTTTAAAGTATGTAATAAATTCTAAACATTAGATTCAAAACTGTCTTACTTACCTGTGTTTCCTATTAAACTTCCTTCTGTCTTCTGTGCATTTAAAAATACTACAATGGTCCTTTAAAAAAATCCACATTGCTAACTCCTTCTTTCCAAATCCTCCCCCCAATTCAAAACAAAGAGAAATAATGAAGTTCACCTTTGAAAAGTTTACTTTAATCATACCTCCATTAGCTATATGAGTATTTAAAGTTACTTTAAAGTCTTTTGTGAATTTTTATATGGCTATGTTATAACATAAAAGATCTGTTTTCACCAACACCCCATAAGTCCATGCCAAAACAATCCTAGGGTATTTCTAGAACTTTTCAAGCATTTTCCAGATATGTATGTAAAAGTATTGCATAGTTAAATTACATAGGACAGTTGTATTTTGAAGTGGGAGGGCCAAGGGCCCTTAGAAATCCTCTAATCCAATCCACTTATTTTACAGATAAGTAAACTGTAGCCCAAGGAAGAGAACTAGTTTGTCCAAAGTTATATAGGTACTGAGTAGCAGATATGAAACCAGGCATCCTGATTCTGCATTCAATATTATATTGAATATTACACCACAATATAGCAAACCATTTTAAATGGAAAATAACATCACATTACCACTGGAAAATGTAAAATAGTCCAAGTTTTATGAAAAAATAGTATCTTAGAATCATAGATTTAGGGTTGGAGAGAACTTATGAACTCATGTATTCCAACTCCTTCAATTTATAAATGAGGAAACTGAGACTCAGAGAAGTTAGTAACTTGTCCAAAGTCTCTCAAATAGTAAGTGG